CCTCCTGTTTTGATAAGATTTCCTCCCTCCTTGTCTCCCACAACCAGAAGAGGCATGAAAAGGGCAAAGGAGAGATTGGTTTCATGCAGCCTGTGTATCATACTCAGTCACTGGATTACACTCAGCACCGCTGACATCGTCAAAAGTATGTTGCTATCAAGGAATTATGAGAAGAGACACTGAATAAATCACAACCAACCCACACCTTGTCAAGGGCACAGGATACGGCAGGGGAAATGGATTGGTATCAAAATTGTTAATCAGTGGCATCCATTACTGCACAAAATATATATATTGCACAATTAAATTCCCCCCCCCCAATTTCATCCCCAAACGTGGCAAATTGAAGAAATCAGACTTTAAATCCCATACCTAGCAAAGGCAAAAATGGATCACTATGCGATTTAATTGGTTTTATTCTTAACAAATAGTGTAGTTATACCAGGGGATCCTTGAAATATCAGAAACTATGTTTTTCTTCTCCCCACTCACATCTCATATATTGAATTTTAAATTCAAAACTCTGCCTATCTCCCTCTTTCTCTTCCCCTTCTCCGCCTTTCAAACACATACTATGTTTGGTTTCTAAACAAACAAACAAACAAACAAACAAACAAACAAACAAACAAACTGTCAGTCACTATAGCAAGCAATAGATACCCTTTGAATTTCTCTGGCCAATTGCTACAAGTTGCAGGCAGCGGAGGGTGGAGATGGGGAGAGGAAGCAGGGAAAATCACAGTGATGACTAGTGCCCAGAAGTAATAGAATATTTACTTGAGTAGCCTTGCTGAAGGTAATTCTGAAAAGAGTAACCTAGAAATTTCCTAGTTATCCAACTTTTCAAATTGCATATCATTGGTCATGACTGTGAGCAAACTATACAGCAGAAGTGCTAATTAGTTTGCCACATTATCTTCACTAGGTCCAGAGATTCTAGGGCTATCTGTCTTCAGCTGCATTCTCCCAAAAGGGCCAGAGAGAGAACAAAGTACATTCCTACGCCTCATCCATCGTAATGTACAGACAAATAAAACTGAAATCATGTACAGTGTGCCCTTTAGGTTACTTCATTTTTCCAGGTAGCACTGAGCACCAATCTCTGAGGTGCAGTTCCTTCTTGAAACTGGTAAGAGACAGCCTTTATCAAAGATAATTGAAACCTGGGTATAGAATTGTTTTTTTCCTTCCTGAAGTCCAGATGTTTCTCTGCCTTGGTGGGCTGAGTGTACAACAAAACATGCGACAGAACATGTTTTTCACATGGAATGTTTCCCCATCCTTTTCTGTGGCCATGTCTTACTAGCAGGAACATAGAAAACTACCATATATGTTACTGAGTCTGATTATTAGTCCATCTATTGTCTACACTGACATAGAATTGGCTCTTAAGGGCTAAAGAAAACTCCAGCGGGTGCAGAATGCTGCGGCGAGACTCCTTACGGGGTCCTCGCCACGGGATCACATTCACCCGATGCTATACCAGCTGCACTGGCTCCCAGTGGAGTACAGGATCAGGTTTAAGGTGCTGGTTTTAACCTTTAAAGCCCTATACGGCCTAGGTCCCTCGTACCTACGGGACTACCTCTCCTGGTATGTCCCACGGAGGACCTTACGGTCTTCAAACAAAAACAGCTTGGAGGTCCTGGGCCACAGGGAGGTTAGGCTGGCCTCAACCAGAGCCAGGGCTTTTTTGGCTTTGGCCCCGATCTGGTAGAACGCTCTGTCACAAGAAACAAGGACCCTGTGGGACTTGACATCTTTCCGCATGTCCTGCAAGACAGAGCTGTTCCACCCGGCCTTTGGCCAAGGCACAGCCTTACCCCCTCCTCCTGTAATCCTCATAGCACTCTAGCCCAATGGTTGCCATTAATCTGATTTTGAATTGATTTTAGAATGAATTGATTTTAGAATGTATTTCAATCAATTGATTGTGATTTTATGTAAACTGTGTTATTTTTACTGTTGGTAGCCGCTCTGAGCCCGGCTTCGGCTGGGGAGGGCAGGATATAAATTATTATTATTATTATTATTATTATTATTATTATTAAAGAGGGGTCTTTTCCAGCCCTATCTGGAGATGCCGGGACTATTATCCTTCTTAAACCGTCTTGCTGACATGGTGCACTTGAGCACCCAATGGCTCCACCTCAGTGGAAGCTCTAGCTATTCCCTTCACTTCAAGTCCCTCCTTGAATGGGGAGACAACAGGGAACCCAGGGGATTCTGCAGGGAACCCAGGGGATTCTGCAGACATGAGCCTTTCCCAGAGCTCCACAGGCTCTCCTGGACCCAGAATCTCCCACAGCTCTTCTCTTGCCTCCTTCTCCGCTGTCTCTGACTACCCAGTCTCCTGCTCCTGACCCTGTTCCTCACCCACTACTGGCGGCTGCAGCACAGGTGGCACAAATCCCCACAAATCACGGACTCCTTCCCCTGGACAATCCTCCCCCCAGTCTGTCTTCTCTGCCCACACATTCCTGCACTGCTTAGGTTCCTGCCCATCCCTAACATCAACCAGCAGAACTCTTCAGGATAGTCCATAGACTGTTTACATCAGTGGATGGAGCCTGAGAGCCCCCAGAGACCCTCTGTGAGTTGTTTGCTGATGGGGTGGTGCCAGCCACCTTGGAGGAGATAATAATCATTCCTGAAAAAGTCCACCCTGAACCCATTTGTATTTAACAACTACAGTACAGTTGCAAATGCCCCCCTTTTGGGGCAAAGTACTTGAGAGAGTCATAGTAATGCAGCTGCAGACATTCCTGGAGGAAACTGGTAATCTAGGCCCGTTCAGACCCAGGTTTAATATTGTATCTGCCTTGGTCACTAAGAAGGATGATCACGATTGGGAGATGGATAAGGAGAATACAACCCTGTTGCTTTTACTAGATCTCTCATTAGCTTTTGTTATCATCAACCATGGTATCCTCCTGGACTGTCTATGGGAGATGAGTATTGAGGACACTGCTCTGCAGTGGTTGCACTCTAACACTACCACCACCACCACCACCACCAACAACAACAACCTGGGATCTTTGTATGCAAAGCAAGTGCTCTCATAGCTTACTCCTTGGTCTAGAGTTGCCATCCCCAAAATTGTGCCCTTTAGGTATCTTGGTCTACAACTCCCCTAATACCTCACCACTGACCATGTTTGCTTGGGCTGAGAGGAGTCGGAAGTTCAACAACATCTGGAGGGCACCAGATTGGAAAAGGCTGGTCTAGAACTTGAACAGCCCATCCATATGATCCCAATTCATTCATTCATTATTACTGAATGGATTATGAATTATTGCCAGACTAATCACCACTCAGCCATGAAGCTTACTGGGCAACCTTGGGTTAGTTACTGCGTCTCCGTCTAACCTACCTCACAAAATCACTGTGAGGATTAGATGAGAATGGGAAGAACCATGTATGCCACCTTGAGCTGTTTGGAGAAAAAGGTAGGATATAAATGCAATAATTAATTAATTAATTTTAGGCCACCCATAACAAACAGTTATCCAAGTGGCACAAAAACAACATAAAAACCAATAAAAATAAAACATCAATACCAGGAAGGAAAAAAGAGGAAGCATATTTTCTCCAGAGTCTTTCTCCCTCTGGATTATAAGCACAAAGGAAGACTGTCTTGTGCAAGAAAATCAGTGAGAAAAAGACTAGGGCAGGTGCAAGAGATTTGATTCCCTGTCTTGTGCTGCTTTCTGGACAGAAGCTCAGGCACGATAATGAGGGTGCTTCTGGGTAGGTGTTTACTCTGAGATCAGTGCTCCTCATGCATGCAATATTTTTGCAACATCCAAACTTCATTGATATCAAAATGCTAGTCTGTTTTCCCACCACTGCTATTTAATTCAAATTTCTCATTTCTGCAGAAAACCAGTAAGTTATTCCACAACACCACCTGCTGCCAATGACCCATTTGTGGTATCTCAATGACCCATTTGCAATTTAAAGTCTTTGGAAGCATCCTAATCTTCCTCAATAGATTCTCTCTTCCCCACACACTCAGTTACATTTGAGAGGTTACTTCATGAAGTCATTATCTCTCTAAACTTCTGGGCCAAGACAGGGAAGGAGACTTCTGCTTCAGGGGGGACCTTTCAGAATTGTGACATTCCAGCAGTTGGCACAACTGGAGCTAGTCGGTTCCCCCCCTTTACTCACCCCTTTGCACAGCTCATTAGATTCATGTGGGGCAGACCCTTCCACTCCCTCAGAGTCAGCAAGCTTACCTTTTCCTTTGTGAAGGAAACGCTGTTCTGCCTGAGCTTCCTAAGGCAGCTGCCTCATTATCTAAGGAGACAGCATTGCCTATGGTGAGGGAAGAACTCCCTGAGGATCAGATGACAGGAGGATAGAACTGGCGCTCAGGCACTCCTGAGATGCTTCAGCTGCTGCCTTGAGAGCCAAACTGGTGGCATCCTAGTCTGCACAAGCCGTGCTAATTTGGGTCAATAAACAAAAAGTAGGCTTTCAGAGTGAAAAGTTGGCTCCTACCATTACCAAGTTATCCTTGGCAGCTGGTTGATGCTCCCCTAGGGTGCTGGAAAGTAAATCAATGGTGTCAAGGTACTGCAAGGCATCAGGCATGGCTGTCAGAAGGACTATGTGGTTCAGACCCTAGGGAAGGACCCACCATTCAAAAACCCAACTTCTGATGCAGGAAATCTCACTTGTCTGATTATCATGGGCAAAACTCTCTTCAGTTCAACTTGGAGTTTTGGAATGTACGAGTTTTCTCAGTGAGCGTTCGGTGGGGGGAAGCTTATCAATTTCTGTTGGGTTTTTCATCCATTTTATTATTAGCTTTTTCTAAACTTTTAGGAAATGGGGGATGGGATAAAACTGCTCACTTTTAAAGGCTGTACATCATTTGAAGGAATATGTATGGCAGTGGTACTTCAGTGAATTTGATCCTTCCAGGGCTGTTGGTTCACATAGGAATAACCTCCACATTTTTAGTAAAAGCAGACTCTGTCCTAAGCCAAGTAAGTGTCTCCATTTTGTGTGTGTATGTGTATGTGTGTATACACACACACACACACACACACACACACATATATATATATATAATTATTAATACCTTTCATTGTGTTATTCCCTTACCCTCCCCCCCCCCCCCCGCAGACACTTCAGCACATATATCTGATGCTTGGTAAATAGATAATCTTGAACAGAACGCAAACTATAGTTGCAAAGGGCCTGGTGACCTATTGCTAGCCAAGGGCTATTTATTTATTTGAATCTATATTCCACTTCTCCACAAAGGCCCTGAGTAGGCACTACATTTAATCCAAACAAAAGTGCCATAGAAGTATCAGTAATATAGAGTTTTGAATGATTCTGTGGATGTATTTTGTAAATTAAGGCTCGTATTGTCTCTTAATTTCTAATTGGTGCTAAATTCATTCTGGGTATAGGGAGGCAAAGGTATCAGGACCAGTCCAAACTCTTCATGTAATCCCTGTTATCAAGGACTCCATCATTGCACTGAGAAGAAAATATAGAGCAAACACCAAACTTGCTGAAGTGGACAAGCCAACATGGAGAGAAACCACGAGACCATAAAAGGCCACACAGAGTTGGCACAACCATAGAATATTTGCATTACACAGACCAGACGTGATGCTACAACATAGCACACATATCGACAAGCCCAACCCAATACATTTTGTAGCCTGAGGCAAAGGACAAGACAATGTCTCTCTCATTCCATATAAAAAAAAGTCAACCAGATTGGCCGTTGAACCTTATTTCAGCTCTGGTGGCAAGGCAGACCTCTCTCCTGCACTTGCGGGAAGCAGGCTAGCTTAGGGGGTACAAAACCTCCAACATCTCTAGCTACCTCACTATGTCTAAAGGCAGGAACCAGCCCTACCTATCCCAATAAAAGAAGAAGCTGGCAGAAGGGCATGGCTCTACTTTTTAGAGACGACGGAAGGAAAAGAAATACCAGTTTTGAAAAACGGAAAGTCAGAGTGTATATGTAGCCCAATATAAATATATATCATTTCATCATATAAATATATGATGAAAACCCTATGAACACACAACCGAACAGTCTAAAATAAAAAAACAAACCAACAAGGAAAAAGTGGTGTTAGACTTACAAAAGATTTTTAGGCATGTCCTTTGGTGGATTTCCCAGAGCAGACATTTTACAGTTATGGAGAAGCCACTCCAAACTCCCCTCTGCACATCTTTGTGTCAGGAGCTCGTCCTACACTCGAGTAGGACCCTGGTAGAGTCACATGCCCGACTGGCATGTTCTCTCCCTCCTGGTTGTTCGTTCGGGAGCTTCAAAAGCTTTCTTCAGTCCAAACATCACAGCGACCGATGCCAACAGACATCGGCACACTTAGGGATCCACAGAGTCTTCACAGCTTGCGTAACAGACCTCAGCAACTCAGCATTTTCGCTAATCTACTTTATTTGGTACATACAAACACATGTGGAGCACTGCAATATGGTTCCCTCTCTCTCTAGCATCAGACAGCAAAGAAAATGAACAAAGGACGATAGCCCAACTTCACAGAACACAGTAACACAAACATCCTGTCTCCGTCACTTCCCACTCTGTGGAGTCAAAACATACACCGTCATGTGAAAGACAAAATCCCATGACTGCAGACATGGGGAATGAATCTTCAACACTTTGCTGCCCCAAAATGGCACATAGATGGCATTACTGAGTGGTGTGGTGTGGTGGTGAGGTGGATTAGTAAAAAATGAGAATCAAAATTAGAAATGTTACCATCAGAACCAACTATTCCTTTCACACTAGAGCAAATCCTCTGTTAACTCATAGCCTTTATGGCAAGGCTGGGGAACCTGCAACCCTTCAGTTGTTGTGGGACTACAACACCCATCAGCCCCAGTTAGCATGGCCACTGGTCAAGGATGATGGGAGTTGTAGTCCTGGATGGTCAAAGGTTCCCTGTTCCCCTGCTTTTGGGTCTTCATGTCCTTGCATGTTTTCTACCTTGACCCATATATTGTATGAAAGGCTATAATAAAAACAAGCTCAGCTCTTCCCGAATTAGAGAGGAGGGCTGAGGCCTATGTTATCGCCAGTCAGAAGATTATCTCTTCTTTTTTGGTGGAGGCTTCATGTTCTTTAGAGAGCCTGTGGTGAAGCTGTCACTCTCAGCCACACTCAGAGGCTTTTTTTTTATTGTCCCTGTCAGTTAGCAGCCCAAGGTTACTGCCAGCTCTCTGTCAGTGCTTTGATTTTTGTCAGCTATGGCCAGGTCCTTTTAGTTATCTGCTATCTTTTCAGCTTTGTTCAGCCTGAGCTCTACTTGTCTACTAATTAGCTCTTTGGAGATTTCCCTTTTAAAACTCACTATCACAGAGGACAGGAACCGTTCAAAAGTTTTGTGCTTCATAGAAATTCCATATTCATCCACATCCCATGCAGCCATCATTTTAAAATTAAAAGTGGCAGCTCAGGCCAATTTAAGGTATATAAGCCACGTAGCCTACGTGTGTGTGTGTGTTAAAAAAACCAAAACCTTCAAGGTTCTTGATCAGGTATGGAGATGAATATCAGAGGTATCAACCGGGGCTTCCATCCCAATGACCAAGGTGTACAAATTAAAAAGAAACCATATAACTTATTCACGTTTTCTTTATCTTCTGGTGTGCAAATATTGTGCTAGCTGAATGTAAAAGTAGCACAACTTTAGGGTACAAAAAAAAAAACCCCAACCACTGTAGCAACATCAAGAGTGGTCTTACATCTAAGGAGGGCCCTGAGGATGTCTTTGTTGTCAACTTCAGAAGAAAAGAGAGGAACAGAAGAGGAAACTGGCAGAAGGAATGGATGCCAAAGAGAACTCAAAGGATTAGGTCCGGGTGAGGTGATCGGTATTCGAAAACAGTCTGCCTTCTGGCTCTGATCTAAGGGAATAGGCTGGCAGCCAAGCCAGAGGGCATAACAGCACAAACACACCTTCAGCACACTGCTGGAGGCTTGCCTCAGTGCCTTAAAAATTGTGCTAGCAATTAGAAATCAAGGTGCACAGCAGCACTGGGCAAAAAGAAGGGGGGAAAAGAAAAAGAAAAAGGAGAGAGGCTCTGTTTATAAATAAAAGCCAGCTTTTTACATAATGCCCTGACTATTTTTATCTTCTGCACTGCCACTGCCACCACGATGATCACCCTTTTTTGTCACTAAATGACTCTCTCTGTCGTCGCCCCCCCCCCCATGGCTAATTCACTGATGCTGCAAGTTGCGGCTACATTGCACTTACATAGTGTTAATGCCTGGAAGATGAAAGTGAAAAACCTTTGAATATATTAATGCTATAACACAGATGTCTTACTTTTCAGGCTCTTTTTTTAGAAATATGGTGCGGTTAATAATGATGCAGATTGTGCCGGATGGATGAGCAGATGAAACAGGGGAATACAGATTAAATAAAAAATTTCTTCAAAGCTCAAGTTGGCTTCATAATTTAACTTCCCTGCTTGTCAGGAGAGCAAGTTGTTAGGTGTAAACCATAGATCGTCGCATTGTTCCAAAGCATCTGGGCGTAAATGAATAACTTGAATCTAAACAACGCTGCCACTGTAGTTCAGAGAATCTGAGATAAGGATACTTAAAAAAATAAAAAAATAAAATGGTTAGCTGCTCAGCTCCATGCCTGCTAATAATTAGACATAAGGCTATAACAGGGAATGGTTTTATAAAGTCAGTCATCTCTCATTCAGCGCTTCTTCAGGCTTAGACTGCATGATCACAGTCTTGCTCTCAGGTGCAAACGTTTTCCATGAAGAGCCAGCAGACAACAGCCCTGCTTGCATTGTATACATTGGGGCATCTTCTGGATTGCATTGCCAGATGGAGATTGGAATAAAATAGATATGGGGGTCATCTTGGTATGCATATGTGTGAAAAGGTTCAATACACGTACCGGTACCTAATCTGATGCCTATTCACATGCAGATCCAGCCCTTCAAGTTTGACAACAGAAGTGGAAAATGAACCTCGTTTTGATTCATACAGTATCCTCCTGCTGTCCCTTGCAGTGCGGCACTGAGCATCACTCGATGCTGAGTTATGTGCAGAGAAGACCCATTTCTGGATTGGCTCTTCACAGCTGCATCTGACAAAGAATCATAGAACTATGGAGTTGGAAGGGATCAGGAGGGTCCTCTAATCCAACCCCATGCATTGCAGGAATCTCTTGCCCAACACAGGACTTGAACCCATGACCCTGAGATTAAGAGTCTCAAGCTCTACTGCCTGAGCTATCCAAGGGGATGTACGAATGGAGCATTTGCTTCACATGCATAAAATGCATAGTACACTAGCGCTCAGGGTGGATATTGTAAGGAATTTGGCTAAGTAGTAGGAGGAGAAACTTCCTAACAGTAAAAGGTGCTGGGCAGTAGGGTGAATTGTCTTGAGAGGTTCCTTCCTAGGGATGTGTGAATCAGACTATATTGGTTTCTCTCCATTTCTCATTTTTCTAGTCTTAAGTTCTCTTTATAATAGTTTTACTTGCTTGGCTGTAAGTCATAACAAAACATAAAGAACATTCAGAATTGAGCCACAATTTTAGCTGGCTGCAAATTTTGTTGGCTGCCAACACAAACAAGGAAACAGGCAATATACTGTAATACAATTTTCAATGTCAAGAAGCAAAAAAACACCCGAACTCACTAAGTGTGACAAAACTCTTCCTGAAACCTAACTTGGACAAATATTATTCTCCAGGACCTTTATAAAAGGACACTGAGTAATGTAGTGAAGAATATCCTGTATAACCATTTCACGGGACACACAAAAGAGTGGTTCCAAGGGTAATTTCTTTCAAGAAAAGCATTCCTACATGGAGCTAATTAGATCCAAACAGTGAGCTTTCTGATAATCTGGCTTGATATAGGGATACAGCCTAGAAAATCTCAGTGAATGGATAATTAGCAGATCAGTCAATTAAGCCTTCCTTCCCATATAGGATAGGCCTGAACTGTCACTTAGCCACTGACTAGATCTTAGTCAGTTCACTATCAAGATCTCTGGCACGTGTACCTAAACCAGCTAATCACCTTTGAAACTTTAAAGGCTTGCAATGGCACAATTAACATTCTGTTATTGAAATATAAGACCTGGACTGGAATTCTAGCCCAGCAGAGGGCCAACCACTTCTGCACAAATACAAATGGCAGGATTGCCAACAAGTAAAGTCAATACTTTATTTAGAAAGGAGTTCTGAACGTTCTCTAACTCCTGGACTAATGGTTGGCTGAAACTTCAGAGCTCTACACTGAATACAATACAGTGAAGAAGCTTGGCTCATTTTTACCAATCTCTCCACATTTTATTTTTTTAAAGGTCTTCATAAAAAATAGTGCACGTGTCTCCTAATATACATGTATTTGTATATGTATATTTTGCATAATGTACACATTTTTACAAATAATCAGAAAGAGGAATGGACAAATAAAAGCATGCAGGCCATATAGCACCTCCCTCTGCTTTTTGTCTAAATCTCTAGAGCCTGTGGCTTCTAGACTAGGCTGTGTTGCCTCCATATTGGGGATACCAACTACATCTGAAGGCTGAGTGGCAAAACCCAGTTCTCCTGGGGAAAACCATAGTCCTTTATAGAATATGTAAAACTTAATCAGATATTTGTGTAAACGAACCAATCCTTCAAATAAAGGTAAAGGGACCCCTGACCATTAGGTCCAGTCGTGGCCGACTCTGGGGTTGCGGCGCTCATCTTGCTCATCTTGCTCATCTTGCCGAGGGAGCTTCCGGGTCACGTGGCCAGCATAACTAAGCCACTTCTGGCGAACCAAAGCAGCACACGGAAACACCGTTTACCTTCCCGCCGGAGCGGTACCTATTTATCTACTTGCGTTTTGACGTGCTTTTGAACTGCTAGGTTGGCAGGAGCTGGGACTGAGCAACGGGAGCTCACCCTGTTGCAGGGATTCGAACCGCTGACCTTCTGATCGGCAAGCCCTAGGCTCTGTGGTTTAACCCACAGCACCACCCGCGTCCCTTATCCTTCAAATACCTGAGTGCTAAAGTATATGCCCCACTCTACCCTAGCCTTAAGAAGGTGGACATCCCTTTTCCAAAGCATATGTGTTTCAGGAGTATCTAACTCCCCCATAAGCCAACCCAGCCTTACAAAAAAATAAAAAAATTGTGAGAATCTCAACTTGGAGTGCGAGGTATATGTATAACCTTCTCTGTAAAGGACCCAACAGTGCAGAATATTCTCCTTTGTAAGAGGCCTACTGCACATGATTTAGAAGTCATCTTCCTTTTAAAAGAGCATTCACTGACTTAATATAATTACACTGAAGATGAAATTGTATTAGCAATATGACTGTGATTATACATCAATTAATTACCATTCATATTTTTGTATTATCGTAGCTTTAAAAATATTACGAGTTACTTTCCTCCTCTGTAAACAGATGGATATATTTCAAAGATAACTACGTAAATTGGCCTGTCCTAAGTGTCTAGAAATCCACAGCCTTATTTTTATAGCTATTTATTAATGAATGAGTTGTTTAACTAATTAAAAGGCCGTTTGCCAGGAAAATCTGGCTTGAAGTTGAGCATCTATAAAAACAATATTCCCCGCCCCAATTAAGGAAAAATATCTGAGTATACTCAAACTACCAGATTCATCCTTGATAACACCTGAAGGCTCTAAAGCTATCCCACATACATTTTCCTGTAAGTAAGTCCCATTGTACACAGTACAATTTCTTTCTGAGAAAATGTGTGGAGGACCATGCTTTCCACGTAGCCAAATTCAGAAGAAAATCTGTATGTGAGTCATATCAGTATTTCCTCTTTTGGAAGCTAATGAGTTTGGTGGTCTGTTCATGTTTGGTTCCGGACAACTTTTGAAACATAGTTTTATTCTAAATAATGGACTAAACTATGAGTGAGGTGAAAAATATAATTAATAACCAAGCAGGGAATGTAAAAATGCAACTTCTCTGTGCCTTAAAAGCAATGAGCAGCCTACCTGGTCCCTTTTGGGCTAAGCTGTTTGATCAGCTTCCGTCAGTCTCTGTGGATGTCCTTATACTAGTCTAATTGAAGGACCCCTGTTCTCTTTTTATTTTTGCTCTATGAAAAATGCATTGGAGATGTCTTATAATGAACTTTGATATGGTGAAATGATAATAATGTCCTAATTATATATAAAAATGTAATTACACTTGCTACTATTATAGAAAAACTCCCTTTATAATGAAGTGTTATGTTGGAAAAAAGATTTCATTATAGGTGGATTCTTTCACTTGTTAATTTGGCCTCTGATTCATCACTTTAATATTAAAAAAAATCTTTCGAAGTTACTTTTGATGTTTCTCATTTATGGTTCATTGCACGGCACTCACACCGTAAGATGCCAAAACGGCAAACTTTTTTAAAGATATGTGTAAGACGAACCTGCTCTTTCTCTAGAAAGATGAGGAAGGAAAGACTCTCACTTCTCTAATTTCTTTGGCAAAAGTGTTCTCTGATGGAACATGGAGCTATATAGATCTGGAGCAACGGTCATACTGATTAGTCACCTTCACTCAAAGCATTTCCCCAAGGGCCTTATTGAATATTAAGACTATTGATTGAATAATTAAAGTCTACACAAGGAGCAAATATCAGGATAAATGTGATGCTGTCACAGCAAAGGGGGAAAGGGAGAGGCTTTATTGTCTCTCACTCTGGAATCATCTAGCACCACCTTCACCAACCTCTTACTGTCCAGATGTTTTGGACTACAGATCCCATCAGCCTTAGCCAGCCACCGTGCTGATGGAAGTTGTAGTCCAGAACATTTAGAGGGTGCCAGGTTGGTGAAAGCTGACCTAGTGTGACTGTTATTTTGGTATTAAATAATCCATGGTTCCTCTGCAGTACTATAAGACACATCAAATGCAATGTGTGCCCTTTCTCAGGCGTTAGTTCAGTTAGCTTCGGTAACAGACTCATAGTTGACCTAGCACCAAAAAAATCCCAGGTTTGCCCTGAAGATCTGTAAGATTTGCAAAGCCAGTCCAGCACTCCTGCTGGTGTATTTGTACTGTGCTGACCTCTCCACTGCTTCACTTCTGCAGCTCTCCCTCCTGGTAAGCATAAGCGATTCACCTGACTGGAAGCTGGCTTAATAGCTCCATCCCACCTGGTGAGCCGCTTCTGTGAGCTGTCCTTGGTTTGTATAGTCAAGTAAAAGTAAGTAACATACAGTTTAGGCATTTGTTTTTATTTTTTATTTTGCTGACTTTGTGTTTTATTGATGTGTGCAAATTTAAGGGTTTTTCTAAATAAAACAAATACATTAGTAAGTTGGATAGGACAGTACCAGCAGTCTCAACACCATCTTTAGCTCCTTGGAGCATAAGTCTACCAATAGTTGATAGTCATGGTAGGTTTAGACTACCTTCAGGATCAGAGGCAGTATGCTAGCTGCTTGGGTTGACAGGTGGGAGAGTCCTTTTGCACTAACATTCTGCTTGTGGGTTTCCTGCAGGTGTCTGCTCGCTCACTGTGAGAACAGAATGCTAGACTACATAGTGGCTGGGGTAACCCAGGCAGATGGACGACATTATAAATAAATCATCATCATCCAACAGAGCTCTTCTTAAGTTGCTATAGTCATAATTCAGATATGCATGTGTATAATGGAAACATTAAGGGTACGCATCAATTATGTCTGTACTTTCAATCACAAGATGAATCAGGGTGATTCTGGGAAGATTTTCACATTTCTGAGTTCAATTGTGCCATTAACAAGATGTCTCTTGAGGCACATCAAGGACTCTGCAAGTTTCTTAGTGGCTCTGAGGCCTTGGCTCTACAAAAATGGCATGGCTGTGTCCCTCTCCTGCCAGCTGAGATACAAAAGCAAACTGACTGCAGAAGTACCCAGAGCTCAAGAGGGGAGGTGTGGGAGAGTTGTGGGGGGTGTCTTTCATTTTGATGAACAGGTCCAGCTTTTAATCACAACGATTTATTTCCCCAGGGTGTGCCAATCACTGTGATTTGGGGAACAGCTTTAATGCCTCTCCCTATACAAGTCAGTGGAGAAATTTAAATTGTATCTCCCAAACTCCTTCTTCCACCCTGCTTCCCTATGCAACAGAGAGATCTCCGTCCAATCTCCAAAAATCTGTAAGGGGAGGGATGCAGAAACCCACCCACCACCAGACATTAAAAGGGTCTTTGCTTGGGGGGTGGGGAGGGTTCATGTTATTTTGCCAACACTTCTGCTTCTGATTGTT